TAGCCATAGTGGAATCCTAAGTGTGTGTGTGTGTGGGGTGGGGGGTCCCTTTTCTCTCTATCGATTTGAGACTAATGAAATGTTTTCACGTATGGTGTATGGTTTCTTCAGTAAAGTCGACCTCGTTTTCGCCAGTGCTGACGCATTGCACACGTAGATAAGGAAAGAAAAATGTCGGTGGGGGATGCAGGCTCGAGATGAGCGATGAGGCGAGAGCACCAATCGTATAGTGGAGGACTACCAAGCGAAATGAGTGATCTCTTTCTGCAGATCAACAGTCTTTGATCGGGGATGGTAGCGATTGAGGAACTTGTTCACCACAATGGTCCATGATGTGATCGAACCTGGTGCACGAGTCTCCAACCACTCCTTGGCTTTCTCCTCCAAAGAAAACGGGAAATAACATATCCGAATTGCTTATGGTGGCACACTGTTGATTTTAATTCCATTGATCAACTCGTGGAATCTATCGAGGTGTGCTCGTGGACATTCATTGAGAAATCCATGGAAGACCATTGAGCCCTTCAGCATCAGGATGACATAGGTCTCACCTCAAATTTATTGGCAGCAACTTAAGGGTGTTGGATGCTAGACCTCAGATCCTCAGCCCTAGGGGTCAGGTAGTACCCCATAGTCCGCTCCTCGAGCTGTGACTGGTCTTGCACGTCCTCTGCTCAATTATTGAGGCTACCCATCTATACTCCGGTAGCGATATCTGTGATTTTCAACTGAGCCAAAGCCTCTTCCGCATCTAGGTGGGAGAGAGAGAATGCAGAAAATTAAATGCTAAAGTAACAAAAAAAACCATGTTTCTTCAATAACCTAGTCGTCCCCGGCAATGAAGCCAAACTTAACTCCTAAAACCGACACAACTAAATCAAGACCAAGTGCATTCGCAATCTAGGTATGCAATATAGTGGTTCAGGTTTAAAATGTCAACTCAGGTCCTAGGTGTATTGGTTCCGCCGTGCAATTCTATTATCTAGCATTTGAAATGAAATGAAGTTGATTGGAAGAAAAAGTAAACGGAAAGCAAGTAAACTGTTGTTCTCATATTAAGAAGGCTCACTCAAGTATTGGTCCCGCTAGATTTCAGTGAAGCCAAGTTGAAATTCACCTAATTCAATTAGATTGATACTTATACGGCAGAAAGTTCTCAAGTAGTCTGGAGTCTCGACTAAAGTGCTCCAGACCCTCTCAGTTAGAATACACGGCGGGCGACTAACCCCCATCGATATAACGAACAGAGGCGATAAAGTTTCAAACTCCCTCTACTGGATTCTATTTCAGTACAGAGCAGTGAACCGAATTCTCGATAAAAGTAGACGATTCACAACTATGCAGAGACTATCATTCTAGGTCAAAGCAGGAATGACAAGAATTTGATCAGGACTCAAGCAATTTTGAATCAATGCCTCAATTGGATAAAATATGATCTATCATTCATGACAAAGGGTTCATACAACTCTTTCTAACATACAAATCAAGGGTTCTTACATTCCATAGTGAAAGAGGGGATTACTCCATAGAGAGAGTGGAAAGCAATGTTGGATGGGAAAATCATCATGCAAACGGAAGAAATATGCTCCAAGTTGTTAATCGTCACTCTTCAAGATGTTAATCGAGCTCCAATGGTCGGGAAACTTGATCTAAGAGACTTAAGGATCACTCTTCGTCGATTTCTTTCTCTAGAACTCTCTTTTGAGCTCCAAAATCAAACACCTCCTTCAAAACCCGAGCTTTGCTTATATTAGTCCGATTTGATCATCCTCGATCGCATTCCCTAGCCGGGGAATTGGATGCATGATTGGGGATCACCAAAAATGTGGCATTTCCACTTAACTCACAGAGGAAATTCCCCGTCTGTTGCTCCCGATCGGGGAATTGGGGCTCTCTAATCGGGGGGCTCTCCTGCAAGCGATCTCCGAACTCTAATGAATATCCCCGATCAGGGACTAGATGGCCTGACCGGGGAATTTGCTCCGCCAGCTCCGCTTCTCGTCCGCTTAACGTTTCTTACCGGAAAGTCGCTCCCAAGCCTTCATTTCTGATCCAGGTCCTGGAATATAACATAAAAGCACAACCTAGCATGAAATCAGCGTAAAACGCAAGAATCGATCCTCAAACAGTGTAAGAATGATGGGGAAAACATGTGCAAATATTGAGTTATCAAAGCCAATGCCAATATGAACAATCAAATGCAATCTAGTCGCCGGCATTTCTGCTTTGTCGTCTCACTGCTGACTGTTGATCTGGTCATGACCCGGAAGCAAGATTATAAAAATTGAGTGCGGCGACAACGACGTTATCGCCATTGAATTGGAGAACACTCAAAGTTTTGGTTGTTACGGATCCGCTAGCGACGCCGTTCATCACTCCTCCGAGGGCTCTCACCCCCTCCAGCCAGATCGCACTCTTTTATCCTCCATCACTGACGATTATTTCTCTCAATGCCGACGCTAATTGGAGCAAGCCAGCGGTGACAACCTTTACAACACCTTTAATTAGGATTTGTTTATTTCTTTTCTCTAGGAGTCAATTTGAGTCATCTCTGTTCGTCGACACAGTACTGAATTTGAGCGTGATGGTTGCAGACGCAGTGGAGGAAGCAAGGAATTGGTATTTTACATGGGCATAACCCGGCGACGCTCTAGCTGTTTGGGGATGCTGGGTTTTCTACCGTCGAGGGATGAACATAGTGAATGATGAGTAATTTCGGATCATAATTAGTAGTCTTGATATGCAACTAGTTCGAATGTATTTAATTTGGCTCGGAACCTCATGATTCATTTGAGAAATGATATCCCCCTATTGTTTCTTTCCAGTTCAACTTCTGATCTTCCAAATCGGGTAGAATCCTGTGCTTAAGTCTATAGGCTTAAGCAAATGGTTAAAGCTTTTTTATTCGTTCTAAGTGGATTAGGTAGTTAATAGTTAGTTGAGGGTAAATGAGGTATTATGCAAATATAATTATTATAATTAATAATAATAAGTAATAATCCTCTTTCTCTCTCCCCCATTACCTTCTCCATAACTCTTTCTCCACTACAATTAATTTAGTGAAATATTATTATTTAATATTTAATAAAATTTGTATTTAATATTTTTCTCTCACCTCTCGCGATTTCTCTCTCTCCTCTCGTTGTTAACGACACTATTAATCATTAACGAATATATGAGGTCCTATATCTGTGAAATCATACCAACACCTGTTTATCTAATGAATTTTTCTCCCAAAATTTTGCCAAGGGGAGTCCTAGGACCCCTCTCCTCGTGGCTTCCCTCCGCCACTGCTCGTTGCTCAACCGTGCAAGAGAGCCGGACAAGTAGGCCATGCTCGCAGCGTCTCTGTCATTAGCTACCTTATCTTCCTTGTGGAGGCGACATTGGTAGATGGGAACAGGAGGATGAGGAGGCCACGACGATGGAGAGAAGTGAGGCTTGCGGTAGCTAAGGTTTTCAGAGGGGATTGAGCTCACAATGACAAGGTATGACGGAAGAGCGAGGATTTGGTAGAGGGTGGAAGGGAACGTGGAGGGCGATCATTTGTGGTTGTATGCCAACTATGATGAACTTAACAGAATTGAGCACTTAGACCATTACCGCAACCGACACGATAGTCGGGGCCATGTACACGAAGCCTTTGGCCAGCCCCACCTTAGAGTGGTGGTTGGGTCAAGCAACGAAGTAGTTCGAACGAATTGGTAGGTCTTTTTTGGGCGGCTTCTTGCTCTTACTCTTACTTTTTGGTCTTGATCGATGGAACAGAACTAGACAAAAAATAAAGGAAAGGTTAGAATATAACGATATTTAAAGTTACTGACCATTAAGAAAGAAATTTTTTTGGGTAGCAAACACGAAAAAATTGATAAATTGAGTGTCAAAAAAATAATTTAGCCTTTCAATAGAATAAAATATTTTAAAAAATAAAATAATTATCATATTTAAATACTACATGACGCCTAACATCTAAAAGTTTATATTTGAATACAATAAATAACATAAACTTCTAAACTTTTATATTTGAATCACACAAATAATATCAATATTTCACTTTCAAACACAAAAAACAAATCAAATTTTTTATATATAAATTCACCCAGCAACATCATTTTATTTAGAGGTCATTCAAGATATATTAGACTCATTCCAGCCGATTTTATAACCAATACGGATTGAATTTGATTATACCGATTGATGTACAACCGGTTTAACAACCATCGAGAGGAGGGAGCGAGTTGAACGAAAGAAAGAAACCCTAACCCTACCTATGCCGTCTGTGTATAAATAGCTGGATGAGCCGTCTATTTTTCTCAATCGCAGTTGACAAATCATCATCGGGGGCAACTGTAGACCGACGCTACCCGCTAGCCCATTAGTACTTAGTAGTTTATAGTTTTTTTTTTTTGGGTGAAGGTGGCCAGTCTATTTTGCTGTAGTCATCGTCTGTGGCTTTCATTGTGCTTCTTAGGCTTATTGTTGCCTTGTGGTAGATCCTTGTCTTCTCCTCTTCCTTTCTTGGTTGCTGGTTGAATCTTTGGATTTGTTTGTACTTGTCTTTCTGTTAAAATGAAGAATGAAATGGATGTGGAGGCTGTGATGTAGAAAAAACTACCTATTTTACGAGGAGATTCTTCTCCTGTGATTATAGAACCAATGGGTACTTCTGAGCCTCTAGTTCAATTTCATTCATTCCTTTGGTTCTCTTTTTGTCTCTTCCTTTCTATTCTTTGTTTTGAGATCTTGACCTTTGTGATTCTTCTTAGTCTACGGTGTTTTTCAAAGCTCTTCCACAACGGTAGATTCAATAAGAATATATCCAGTAGTAGTTTGTAATGATTTCTCATGGGGTAATTTGGGTTAGATTGTTGATGTCAACTGAGCTTAGAACAACCTTTATCTCTGTTTATTATCTACATCCAGACGACTAAAACAATACCCAGTTGTAATTTGGGTTAGATTGTTGGTGTTAATCATGACGACTAAAACAATTCATTGGGTTGGAACAGAACCGTTGCTTCAAACATTTATTATCGTCCGAAAAAGTGTCCTGTACAACTCCAAGCATCACATGTACTTGTTGCTCAAGTTCAAATGTAAATTTATTGGCCAAGCTGCAGCGCATTCAAGCTACAGTTTGGGTTAACAAGATAAAGATTTCAGGGCTTCACAGTTTAAAAAAGTAAGTGGTAATAATGGGTGGCGAATGGAAGTTCTATGCCCCTCGATATATGGCATTCACTTTCCCGGTTGTGAATTTGGGCATTGGGGTACCCAGTCTTAACTGCATGGATACTCGACTGACATCCGAGGTTTCCTTTAAGATCTCTCTCTCTGCTTCTTCTGCTACTACCTTTGCATCCCTGCAATTGCATTACAGTTATATGCTCAGTGTCTCAAACGCAAGTATGGAAGACTATCAATGCCTAATTTGCTGTACCTGATTAAGATATTGGCAGGCATATCAACTTCAATCTCAAGCAAAATCTTGCCATTGATTAGATGACGTGTCACCCGTTCAACCTTCATGTTCTGGAACAGTCACTTGCGAGTTCAGTTACACAGATCCAATATTACACACAGGAGACCGATTCCAGAAAGTTCAATCTTGAATTCTTTCCCAGACAAATAAAACAGTGACAATCACAAAGCAGGAGTCTGGAGATGTGGGCTACTTGGGCGGACGATATATACCTCGTTAAACTTCGATAACAAAATACTGTTTATGATAGCTTCAACGTCTTTGTCCTCCAGATATGTACTTTGACCTTTCTGCATTTTGGGTGGCGACTCCAGAAAAGCAGGGTCTGTGAAGATAGTCTGAGTTGTTAAGACTGAAGAGGAAGTATCGATAACAAAGTTATGTGATGCTTACTGCATAACAGCACAAGGAACCCAGATGTGTTACTAGCTGGGACTTGTACCCCAGCACAAATGTTCAGTGCTCCAACTATGTACTATAGCATAAAGCAAATAAGGCATCTTTTTCCCTCGTGAAAGAACTAAGGCAGTTAAATATTCTAGAAACCTAATAAACAGGACATTACGAGGCCATCGAGACTTGATTACCTATATGGATGAAAACCTCAGCTATCTCAGGATGGGAGGTGTGGATTTCCTTGCGGACACTTTCACCAATCCCGTGAGCAGCACTAACACTACAAAAAGGATCAACCTACAAGCCAAAAGTATAATACAGTTCCCTCCTGAAATCATTCATTTAAGTCAAACGTGAAATAAAATTCCACATCAATATTAGTGGCTATCCAAAAAGTCAAAATCAAGACTGACCTCTATATGAACATCTAAAAACAGATACGAACCAGCCCTTCTTCCCCGCAATCGATGACATCCCTGCAAGAAGTCGAGGATTATACTTAATATACCCAGCAGGTAAAAGACCACAAAAGTAATACCCAATTCTCTAGCCAATGTGAGACTCCCCATAGCCAGAATCTACAGTTTGGATCCAGAGATAAACCAGTTCTACTCACAGTGGAAGGATACAACTCTAATGAAAGTCTTCTCCCTCAGTGTGGGCAGTACTATTTCCCCTCTCCAATGTGATTTTCACTAACCACATCATTTTCAGCATCAGTATCAGTGTGGCAGTACCATTTCGGCCCTCTACAGTGTGATTTTTAATAACCGCATTCATTTTCAGCATGAGTATATCCAATACCATGCATACACTTCATCAAATCAGTAAATCTTTAACCCAATTAAAGCATTCAAATGAACACAGACCGTGTCACAAGAATTTGATATAAGAACCAATCAGCAACAGGGAAGTCAGAATCTATGAACATGAGTTCCTTGCAAGTTGAACTGCTCTAAGCTTTTGGAACCAACGAAACCATCCCTAAAACCAGAATAGGCAAACTAAGTCCAACAAATTAAGAGACATACTGTAACACCTGGAACTTGTAGGATCGTTCGTCTCGTGTGTTCCAAATGTTCTGCAGGAAGTGCAGCATCCACCAGTTCCAAGATGCTATGATGAGTAATGAAAATTGTGTCAGATTTTATTGTACCCAGAGACCAGCTATGGGACACATGTTTCTTGACACCAATTTCAGCAGTCACATAGCTAGCTACTCAGTTATGAATAACTTATTACAACTATATTCATCATCTAGCTGCATGATGTCAATGTTCGGAAGACATAGAAAGAAGACAAAAGCTATATAAGAAAAGACAGATGATCAAAATTAGACGTGGCTATATAGAATTCACAAGATCAATAGTCTCTCTAGGGTAAACAAATGCCAAATGTACCTCTGATATCCAGTCTGTAATCCAGCTTTCAGTATCATGCCAGAGACAAACAGACCAGCAACGGGGTCCAGGAACTTAATTCCAAGGAGGGTTCCTCCTGCAATCATTAGGAAAATTTCATGTTGGATAAATTGAAGGAGAACCAACCCCATTAAGAGTGATGTTCAGTCTAGTGTTCCGTCCAATTGCACCTGTTTTCGCATGACTCATGACCACTGAAAAGGATTCTAATGTTATGTCCATTGAACAGGGATGTTTTATACAACTATAATGTAAAATGGCAGGAGGTACTTGGGGATGTATTTAGAAATAGATATGAGCCTCTCAAGTAAGTCTTTTCACTTTTAGGGGTACACCTAACTACAAATTTTAGAAATTCATTTGGGAAAACGAGATGATTCCCAAACTACCAGAAAACAACCGTGGTAAACGGTAAAGAATATAAGCCCAAAGAAATATGAGGGAAGAAAAGAGAAACTGTTAAGCAGACCCACATGTTGCAGTCTATACTGAACCAGTAACCAAGATTAATCAGGTCATGGGACTGCAGCAGAATATTTTAAAAACTTCTAGACAATTTGATGAAAAGCAGAAAAGCTATTGATTGACCTGGAAATTTTATGAAAAGGGACTTCACAAATGAAGAGGCTGATAATGGGGGATGGTGAGAATGTTTAGCTTAAAAACACCACCTAGTTGGTCAGAAGACCTGTCTAGGACACTTACCAACCCCGATGAGAGCAACAACTGAGGAAATGGCATCTGCACGATGATGCCATGCATTTGCTTTCATGAGTCCACTGCCCAATTTCTCCCCAATTCTTTTTGTTCTCCAGTACAGTCTGTATAGAACAGGTAAGGAGTTCAAAGATGCCAGCTCAATCAAGAGTCGTAGGCTTGCAAAGAGAAGAAATGAAGAATCAAGGAAAATGATTTGTGTAGGCACCAACATAAGTTTGGTATAGAATAGACTAAATATCAGTTAACAATAGAATGACAGGGAGAATCACGTAAGACCTTGTCCTGGTTACAAAGGAACTAGAGCAGGGGGAAACAAGACATGCATGTGGCACCCAACCAGTTGAATCAAGCTTTGGTGTCTAGAAGCTCGACTTCAAGGAAAAGATATGGAACAATGTGATACTAAGACCCAGGTATAGGGGTCGTTTGAATGAACTGTAATGAATCAATTTACCCCAAATTGTCTCATTTTGAGACAACGGGATCAAATTGACCTGTTTGCCAGCAAAAAAATTGGATGGGGAATTTCGAATTGATCCGTTTTAAGTAAATTTCAATTGTCTTGGAGTGGGGCAGGCAATTCAAACTCATTTCATAAAATGAGACAAATGGTCACATTGTCTCGTTTTCGAATTGATCCATCCAAACGACCCTAAGACCCTGGTATAATAGCCTTTCAATATTATTATGAGAAGTCATATGAAATTAAAGCCCCTGTAGCCAACAAAAGCATAATAGAGAGAGTGACTAGATATAGAGAAGAAAAGCATTTAGAACTATGCGAGAACACAACCCAAGTCAAGCATAAAGGGCATTCCTAACCAGTAGCAAGAAAATGATTCTTCAGCAAACAAGATGATTATTACCCTTCTTTAACTGATATGGACACAGCTGCCATACTCAATGCAAGGAATGGGTGCTCCATGTCAATCCCATGATGATGCCCGCCATGGGCATTGTTATGCAGACCTTCAATGGTAGATGAATGGTCTATCGCAACAGGAGCAGCAGACACCAAAACCTGCAATGTCAGAACCCAGTTTCATTTTGAAAACAGGAATAGCCCCAAGTTTTCTGCATGGCAGTGCGTGCAGTCCAAGAATGCCAAAGGGAGAAGAGAAAAGAAATCCTACATGAAGTACATCAAAAGCATGCCAAGCAATGCCACCCGCAGTGACCAGAAGCATGGAAGAAATTCCAAGGGCACCAAGGCTTTCAAATTTACCGTGTCCTGGAATGGAAGTAAGGAACGTGAATGAGGTAGAGCAACTCTATGAAACTGGTAAGTGGCAACCCAATTGAACACTCCGGGCACTGATAGATGGAAAAATATGAATAGCCACATGCTAACTAAGTAAAAAAATTGGAGTAGCGTGTAGGTACAGATTATAAGTGACCATAAGGATGTTCTCTGTCTCTAGGAGCCATCCCAGCCCTGAATGACCACAAGGCAACTCCACTAAGAACCTGCAGAGAAAAAAACATAGAATGGAAACCCAAACCAGATAGCCAAGTAAAGGAAAGAAAGCCCAAGTCGACGGAACCCAGAAATTGGATGCATATGCACAACTGAAGTACCACGTCAGAGATAGAATGAGCGGCATCGGCAATGATAGCGGTACTCCCGGTGAGGTATCCAGTAAAGGCCTTCCCGAGGGACAACCCAATATCAGCGGCCAAGCCGAGGCGGAATATTTTATCACCCTCCTGGCCGGCGGCGGAGGCATCGGAAGTATGACCGACGTGGTGGTGGTGAGCGTCGGAGTGAGAGTGGCCCAAATGCCAGCGAATCGGGATTTTGGACTGGGGAGGGTCGGGGAGTAAACAAACGGAGGAAGGGCGATTCAGAAAAGTGGTAGAGGCTGAAGGGCGAAGAGCATTGCGATGAAGGTATGATCTGAAGACAGGATTGAGACTGCGAAATCTGAATCCCATTTGTTTGGTTTGATGAGAAGCAATTGAATTGAGATGATGCTTTCTTTTCTTTGTATTACGCTATAGATTGGTTGGAGAATGGAGGTGTCTGCGCTAGCGTTTGTTTCTGTTTGTGATGGAGCTGGAGGTCTGTTTGGTTTGATGACAAGCCAGAAAGGGAATAATAGGCTTCAGTTCGTCTCTGCCCGGCCTCCAACTGACGCCGGCGCATTCCAGTAAAGTAGTATTCGTTAAGAGAACAGACCTGATTCCAGGACTAGGGGAGGCTTCACGATCCGCGTGTCAGTCGCATAAATTGCTAATTGATCACTGGATTATGTTATAAAATACCTTCACTACTGTTTTTTTATGTCCTGGTTGGTCAACGCGAAGGATTCGGCTCAGGCTATGGATGCGTCATTCTGAAGGAAGTTTAGATGTTTTTTTTACAATTTTCCAGTGTAGTTTGTTTCATTTCACGATATTTAGGTACAATAAAGTTGTCCATATCGTGGCAAATAGATCCTCTTATAAATGGTTCAACATCAAGTTGACCAATACGCTTGCTTTATTGCTTATTTGGGTTCCAAATATCTTGTATTTATTTTTATAAATTAGTATTCAGTTTCAGTGCATGTTTGACAAAAAGAAACATGCCTATTCTCCCAAAAAAATGCATTCACTGTAACATTCTGATCCAGGACATATATGTATTCTCTAAATGACTCATTCCAACTACCACAATAAAATTCCGACTACAGCCCAAGTATAATTCTAGTACGTGCAATATGGGGCAAGCGTTTTAAAATGTTAACCAAGCCGGTCTATGTACTCCGACTTTAACAGTTTAAAATGTAATCTAACAATCGGTTTTGAGTGAAAATAAGGACTACTATTTAAAGCAAGAAAGAAGGTAAATTGTTTTAGAATATATACGAGAAAGTTTCACCTGGGTATTGCTCCCCCTAGCTATATTTCATACACCGTAAGGAGGGTGCAACTAGTGAAGAAACTTCACTCTCTTGTGTTTCCTTGACCTAGTTTACACTAGGTTGTGCTCTTTTGTCACATTTCAGCTTCTATCCGTTGAAAGAAGGCTTAGGCGCGAGTTTCGGGCCATTTGAAGGTCATTCGGCGAAGCTGGAGCAAACATGGCCTTCCCCTGCCTAGGACACGACATTGTTTCTCTCGGGGGCGCACCCATGCTTCTTATGCGAGCATGTTCTCGTCTTAGGAGAAGAACACGGGCAAGAACACGCCTGTGTCCTCAAAGGAACTTGGCTGTGCTTTTTAGAGCGAGGATTGGTTCGATGAGGCTGCTGAAGAATGCAAAACATGGGCATGTCTGTTGAAGAACACAGTCGTGTTTCACCTTTGGACTTGACCGTGTTCCGACGTGCGACTATGTTAGGGATCTTGCTTGTAATGACTGTTGTTTCGTCTAGTGTTCCCCACGTGGCCTGATCAAAACATGGGCGGACAGGGGAACAACACGATCATGTTCCCGACCGTGTTTCGTCTAGTGTCCGGTTAAACAGGCAGATTCGAGCCAAAGAGAAGGAATTCCACTTTTTGGAGCAAAAACAGAGTTCTGGAGAGGGAAAGGATGAATGACAAATCCTAGGAGCTATTTGGATTGGATTTCTCACCATTGAAGCCCAGATTGCATCCCGAGAAGTGAAGATTCACATCCCAGAGCACATTATTCCCATCTTTATGAGTATGACTGCTTTGATTTATGTTTTCCTCTCTTTCTATGGAGAAGACATTTCTCTCACTTGGATATGAAGAAACCTAGTTCCATGTGTTAGGGATTTTGCTTGTAATGACTGTTGGATGTTATACTAGATGATTTTAATCAATTGAGGCATGTTTATTGAGTCATTTGAATCCTGATCAAGTTATTTTGACTTCTGCTTTAACCTATTATAGATAAAATCTAATTAGGTTATAAGAGCTTCTTCAGTTGATAGTAGTGAGTTGATTGTATGAGAGTCAGTCAATTTCACTACTTTGCACGAGAATTCGTTCCAAGTAGAGGGGATCTGTGTGAATCGCCTTAGCATTCTATCCCGGTGATGGCTAGTCGCCTGCCGAGTATTTTGTCTAAGAGGGCTTGGTCAGTTTAAGAAATTTCAAGCTATTTTCGGATCTTCCGCAGCCTAGTCGACAGTAAAACAACAAAAGGGAATTACAACTTGAACCTAACTAAGGAGCTAGGGGGACTCATTCCCGAGTGACTCTTCTCTTTCTTCAGAAAATCGAACAATTTATTGCTTTCTTTCTGCTTTACTTTTAATTCACTCATACTAAATCTTTTCCGCTAGATAATATATAATTACGGAGTAGGCAGTACATCTAGGCCTCGGGTTGACATTTATTACTTGTCCCACTATACTGCATTTCCATTCTAAGATTACACTTGGTCGTAGGTTGATGTTGTATCATAGCTAGTCAAGTTTTTGGCGCCGTTATCGGGGACTCTAGGTTATTGTAGAAACGTGAATGTCTGTTACTTTAGCATTTACTTTTCTGCATTTGTTTTCCTTCCCCTGTTTTCCTTCACGGTTGTGTCTGTAGTCTTTGTTCATGTAGTGCATGACCCGTAGCCAGTCGAGAGATCTTCATCCGTTAGACCCATCAATCGAACGGACTTGTTGCCAACTCCGAGCGCTCAAACAGAGGTTGGCTATGGAGGAGGACTTGGATAAGGTCGTTGTCGCCGACGGTTCTGAGAGCGAATAAGAAAGGGGTGAGACCAATGCTGTCGAGGTGGTTGTCCCCGAGGAGCATACCGTGGGCTACTACTGGACCGCCAGAGCAACAGACATGAGGTCCAGCATCCAACACCCTCAAGTTGCTGCCAACAACTTTGAGGTGAGCACCATGTTGTGCGGTTCAATGGTGTTCCATGGGAAGACAGGCGAGTGTCCCCGCGCGTACCTTCGGTGATTCCACGAGCTGACTGATAAGATCAAGATTAATGGGGTCTCGCCAGATGCCATATTGTTGCGCTACTTTCCATTTACTCTGGAGGGATCAGCCAAGCAGTGGTTTGACAACCAGCCTCGTCGGGGTCAATTACTACATTTACCGACCTGGCCAACAAATTCTTGACCCGCTATCATCCTCTTTCTAAAATAGTAGACCTACAGAAGGATATTACACATTTTTACTAGGAGGAGGAAGAAACTATTCAGAATGATTGGGAGAGTTATGTCGGTCTCTTCCTGAAGTGTCCCCATCATGGTTTCAATGATGCCTTCAAGGTTGGAAACTTCGATCGGTCTCTGTTTTCTAAAGATAAGCAGCTGATCGACTCGATTTATGGCGGCAACATGCTGACTAAGATATCACCGCAGTTGAACCAGCTCTTTGAAGATATGGATGAGCAGGGGTATGATTGGGGGTTTGTACAAAGATTTGCGGCAAGCACCAGACCGAGGTGTGCATGCTGTGGATACCCAGACATCTGAGTTGGTGCAGGTTGTCTCTAAGCCGGTTTTAGCTATTGATCGTAATGTGATGATTTCTGGGACAGGGCAACAACAGGCAATGCATTGCCAGTGGTGAGAGAGCTCCCATCACACTGGAGAAGATTGTCAGGAAATAAGAGAGTCTACTACACCCCAAAAGCAGTTGGACTTCATCGGAAATGCAAGGCGCTTCGACCCTTACATCAACACCTATAACGAGGGGTGGCGCCAACATCCTAACTTCTCTTGAGGTGGTAGTAATCCTAAGTCACCAGTTTTCAAGGGACCACCCAGCTTCCAGAGACCGCAATACCAGCCCAGACAGCAGGCAGGGGCAATTCTAGCAGCAACCTCTCTATCAGTCCAGAAAGAGGCAAGCTCTCTCTTAGCAACATTAGAGGCCATTTTAGCAGCCGGGCACAGCTCTTGCAACCCTAGTACAACATGATTCGATGGATGAACTGCAGGATTTGGTATGGTCTCTTGCCAGTTCTAGTGCTCACAAATTCAACAATATGGAGTAGTTGATCGATTAGGCCTCAAATAAATTCATGGCGCTTGAAGCTGGCCAGAGGAACACACCGACTATTCTGGAGGATATACCTAGCTTGGTAGTGTGGCTAAAGCTATGGCATAGAGGGCTCCGGGTACTATACCTGGTCATACCATCACTACTAGGAGTGGGAAGGTGACTACTAACATACCCGTCCAGGCCAGACAGGAGGAGAAGAGACATGCTTCAACACTTCTAGCAGACGAGTAAGAAAGGGAAAAAGAGATTGAGGTGCCTGCCCCTAAGCCACAACCAGTGGTAAAGGAGTATGTCCCTCAACTTCCTTCCCTACTCGGTTGCACAAAGACCGATTGGAGACTGAGTTTGCCAAGTTCATGGCAATGCCGAAGCAGGTGAACATCAATATGTCTTTCATTGAGGCATTGTCGAAGATGCCCAAGTACGCGAGATCTCCCCACCAACAAGAGGAAGCTTGGGGAGCTATCCCTAGTGATGCTCAACGAGGAGTGTTATGCCATCCTACAGAACAAACTACCAGGGAGTTGTATATCCCTTGCATGATAGGTAGCTTTCATGTAGGAAAGTCCTTGGAGGATTAAGGCGCTAGCATTAATGTCATGCCATATAAATTGTTTAAGAAGCTAGGCCTAGGTGAACCCAGTAACACTAGGATGAGCATACAGTTAGTGTATAGATCTATTGTGCATCCTAGGGGTATTGTAGAGGACTTCATAGTCGTAGTAGAGCCATTCTCATATCCTGTTGATTTTGTTATTATTGATATTAATAAGGATGTGGATGTGCCTTTAATTTTGGGTAGACCTTTTCTCATCACCGCCAATGCGCTTATTGATGTTAATGATGGTAAACTGATTTTGAGGGTTGGGGGTGAACAAATCACCTTCTCCGTTTCTGATAACATGAAACACCCCCATCTCCATAATGATTTAGATTACTACGATATGGTTGCCAATTTTGATATTGGACTCGCCATCATGAGTGCGGGTACTAATGATTTCCTCGAGCGTTGTCTTTTTCTAGGGGAAAAGGCATCACAAGAGCTGCAGCTCGCGGAGCTAGGATGTACCACGATCGAGGGGGCAAGTGCAATCGTTCAAGCCGCTCTCTATCTCGCCAGATTGCCACATCCTTGGAAGAGCCACCAGAGCTGGAGCTTGAGCCCCTCCCCTCTCACCTGGTGTATGCATTTCTCCGGGAGGGGAATAAGCTCTCGGTCATTATTAGCTTGAAACTGAACTCCGAGCAAAAGTGTTGTCTGGTGGCTTTGTTTCAGAAGTACTCCCGAGCCATTTTTTGGAAGATCACTGACATTAGAAACATTAGCCCATCCTTTTGCTCCCACAGAAT